TATTTCACAAATTAAATTCTTGGTATGCCTAGTATTTTTCCTTTATATTTTAAAATAATTATATAATATTGATTGTCTAACATTTCTTAAAGTATCAAGCTTAAAACAACATGCACTTAACATGATTAATTTTTCTGCACTTTGCATTAGGCTTAACATTTTGTTGTTAACAGAGATTTTGTTTTAAGCATTAGCTCTGCTTCTGAGAGTTTCAAAAGTTTTGTTTTTCTTATTACAAATGAAAGATAATTTAATTTTAATTATGCCAGCTAGCTGAAGTAATATTAGTAATATTATTATTATTATATTTTTAGACTCATTCACGAAAGTGAAATGATTAGACTCATTCACGAAAGTGAAATGAGTATATTGGTTTTGTGCAATGTCCGTCTTGCTGTCCGTCCGTCTGTCCGTCTGTCCGTCTGTCCGTCTGTCCGTCTGTCCGTATGAACGCAATCTATTTCGGCGCTATTGAAGCTAGAGACTTGAAATTTGGAACACATACTCGTGTATATCTCCGATTTATAAAGTGTTAAAATTTTCCCGATCCGCCCACTAGGGGCGTNGTATCCAATATATGGATATAAATACATGTATATTATTAAAAGTCAAAATTGTATAAATTATATACATATGCATGTAATTTGAATGCAATTATGCAATGATCATAGCAATAGCTATCGATGATTTTCCCATTTTAAATGGGATCATGCCCTGTTTTTTGTTGCGCACTAGACTTGAAAATTGCACTATATACTCTGGTTGACAGCGTTTGGGCTGTGAATGAGTCTTCTGCAATCGGTATCGCCCGACTGCAACGTTCTTACTTGTTTATATCAACGCAAAGAAAACTAAGAAAAAATGGACTAAAAGATCTTTGAGTTATAGTTTAAAAGAGAAGCTGGCACAGATCTAGTGGAGCACACACATAGTTGTTGATTCATGTGGACATTTTTTTGTTACCTTTCTATCTGAGTGCACCGCACGCAAATCGATTCTAATCAATTAATGCAGCAACAGGTATGCGCATTTACCGTTGCACTTTACACAAATCGTCTGGATTAATGCGGCAAGCGCACTTGGCCAACATCGTAATATTCATATGGCATTCCACTCAAACGATTTAACCAATATGCAAATGCTCTGTATGTATGTGGGTGTGTGGGTGTGTGTGTATGTGTGTGTAGCTCAAGTGCTTGCAAGCTCATTGAGCACTTTAGCCATTATATGTGTGGAATACAACTCTTGCAACAGCTGCAACTCCGTCTTCGTCTTCGTCTCTGCCTTCATCTTCATCTTCGTCTTCCTTTGCTGTTGCTTGTGTTTGCTGGCAGCAAATAAACACTTCTGACAGCGCCGATCGGATCAGTGTGCACCCACCTGCCCCGTGGCACCTGTTAGCTGTTGGCTGCTGTCTGACAGTTTGTTTGGCTCGGCGGATGGGCGGTGGGAGGTGAGGTGGGGTCTGCTTATTTAAGCATGCAACGCGCCCACACATTCGCACATGCAACAGTTGAGCTGTTAACCAGTGTCTAAACCCCTCCTGCAGTCTCTCTCTCTCTCTCTCTCTCTCTCTCTCTGTCTCTCTTCCCGCTCCTTGTTCCTGCCCCTTTTCTACAGGCAGTTTACGTCTGTCGCCGCTGTCTCTGTCTCTGTCTCTGCTGCTGCTGCTGCTGCTGCAACATCATTTGCCCTCATTTCCGTTCGGTCGAAGGATATGAATCCCAATAGCACTTCCTCAGCGCACATCCGTTGCGACACGCCGCTGGCTGTGGCAAGGCAACGACAGGGGAGGGCAGGGTCGGTCCGGGTCGGGTCGGGATGGGTAAGGAGCTGACTGTTCCGCCCGCTTGACGCTTGTCAACGCTACGCAACATTAGGAAAACGAATGAAACGGAAACGAACAAGCGATAAGTGTTGTCTACGTGTCTTCGGGTTGATTTTATTCTTTTTCCATGCATACCCTGAACTAAGCGCCGCACACAATGGCACAAACAGGGTTAAATTGGTTTTATGCTTAAGCATGTGACAAGCGACAGGGAGAGAGTGTACGCTATATAAGTATATGCATATTAAGATCTCTGATAATATTACTTTAAAAACTTCTTGCAAGCTCATTGAGCAAAGATGGAAGCTGCAACACTTTTTTTTCCTTTTCTTCATATCCATAAGAATTATGTTTTAATAGCAAACATCAAAGACTGTAAAAAATAGAGCTATTGAAGTTAATACTCAACTACCTCTAGAGTGTAGAAATATTTCACTTTTCAAAAATCTTCTTCAGCAGACTTCTCGCTTTATAGATAGCTCAAGAATTTTTATACATAACTATACAACATAGCATCAAACACTGTATCAATAAGAAGGATCCTCCTCTTTATAAAGATCTTATGAGTTGATTATTTTATGTCTAACTCAGGAACTATAAAAGCTATCGAAATGGTATTTAATATATACTTCATTATCTCCTGTACAAAGATTCCTAATATCTCCTACATATGATTTTAATATATTAAAACTCAAGAACTATACAACCTATTAATATAACAATTATGTTGCTCATCATATACTGTATAATCGTCATATACTGTATATACTGTATAATTGGGTATACTTCACTTTCTGAATAACTCTTTATGACTGGCTTATATTATAAATAACTCAAGAACTTTAGAAGCCACAGAAATGAAACTTGTTATAGGGCTATTGATATATCATATGTACATGAATATAATTTCGATTTTCGCATATCTCACTCAAACCCAAAAGAGAGAGAGAAAGCCAGAGATCAAATCAAGTTTCCCTTCTATTATCATAAATTTGCATGTCAAATGTATATAAAATCTCAGAGTATTACCAAGTCCTTACTTATCGCTCACCACGCTTTACTACGGGTTGCAAAGTGTGTGTCGGTTGATGGTGCAAGGCGTTTGGCACGATGTGTCCATAATGCCGCCACATGCCACATGACGCCAGCTGCCGCCCACTGGAAAGGCTTACGAGCCAAATAAGTGTCGTGTGTCTTCATTTGTCGCTGTCGATTGTGATGTTCGTTGTCTCCGTCTCTGTCTCTTTTGTGTGCGTGTGCGTGTACGTGTGTGTGTGTGCACAATCAACTCAAATTAAATTCAATAACATAACTCAATCATGACCGCCCTTGCMCACGCCCACGCCCACACCTAATGTCGCAATGTCCAGCGGCATTGTAAAAATAAATTAAAGTTGAATTCCGCCGGATACTCTTGACGACTCTCCGTTGCTGTTGCTTACGCTGCTTATGGTTATGGCTATGGCTTTGTCCTGTCTGCTTCCTCTAGTCCTATCTACCAGTCGCCTCCTGCTCCTCCTCCTCCTCCTGCTCCTGCTCCTTATCATTGGGGCAGTCGTTCATTGTGTTTGTTATTTGTTGTCTTTGGCTTGCATAACAACAATTCAACTAACACAACGCCAGCAATTATTTATATTATTAAATCCTCTTGAGTGTCCTCGCCATTGTTAATATACCCTATAAATATAGTAATTATCGTTGGGTATATATCTACACAGATAGATAGCATATGCTAGCGACAATTGTTATTTGAGATTTTGGGCCAAGTCAAAACATAGCTCAATGAGCATCGTATGCTTCACAAAGGCAAGAGAAGACTTGCAAAATCTGACGAGAGAAACCTTAAAAAGTGCGACAGTCTAAACAAATTTGTACACTTAAATTTGTTTGTAAAGGAAGCGCCTCAAACGAACATCAAAGAGAGAAGAAAAGCAAGTTTGTTTATGAAATAAAGCAAGTGCTTAAGGTTTCTCCTCGAGAGCTGGGGAGATTAGAACAATGAAATATTAAATTTTAGAAAGAAGTTAAAGAGCGAGCACATGTATAATTGCTTCAAGAGAGTACTGGATGACACTAGACCAAAGTGAAAGCGGTGCTCTCTAGAGAGAAGCAAAAAGTACAGAAGATTTGCAGAGAGGATTAGAGACGAGCTGAGAACAATGCTAAGAAGCGAGAAGCAATCGAGTGTATAGGTTAGAAATTAAGACAAGCATTAGAAAAAATCGAGGAGCAGTAGAGAGTAGCGGTAAGAATTAGGTAATACGAGAAAAATATTGGAAGTACCGAAGATATGGGAAGTATCGAAGGCACTAGAGAAAAGCAGGAAACAGCAGGGAGAATGGGCAGTACTAAGATTAATCGGGCAGCATTAGTAATAGAGAAAAGTAGATACAGATAATCTGTAAAGAACTGTCAGAAGCTGCATACGAAAGCAGACAGGGTTAAGAATTTGAAGAGAGAAGCGAGGCGCAAATTGAATGTCATGAAAGCAGCAAGAAGCAAACAATAAGCAACGATTAGAATTAAAGTATTAAATAGAAGCTTATATAAGAGTCCGAGAAACTTCAAAATATTCCTTTGGCTAACTTCTCTTCTGACTCTGCCCTGACTCACTTTACTTGAGATGAGTTAAAACAGAAAACAGGGTATTCCATAGTCCAGCCAGTGTGTGTAGGCATCCGCCATTTATATCAATTGTTGTAAGTGTTATTGTTGTCAGTTGAAGGCGTTACTTATGTCATGCCTGCGCCGCTTCGCAACTGTTGTTGCCATAGCCATAGTACAGTCCATTCGTCTGTCCATCCGTCCGTCCTTAGCTCCCTTCCTCCTTCTCCCGTGCTGTCTGACCCATTTCTTCACAGCTTAGTTGGCATTTGCCGAAGCCAGCAGACAGGCAGATGGACAGACGGACAGACGGACAGTAAGTAAACAGCAATAAAACAACAAAACAATAATTTGTTGCTTTTTATTTGAGCAATGTTAAATACGATATTATTGAATGGTAATCGCGGCCTACACCCAAGAGTATCCATATTTTTTGACAAGGGTTACAAGGCGCTGCACCAAAAGCAATCCAAACGAAAAGAAGAGCAGCAGGAGGTGGAGGAAGTGGAGTTCGATGTCGATGTTGTATTAACTGAAATGGAATGTTTGTTTGTTTGTTTGCTTACAGATTCTTCTACCTATATCATTATGCCTTCTATGCGTATCACTATCGCTTCAGTGGACAATATCGTAGTCTGGCCCTGCTCTCGTCGTATCTCTTCATTCAGGTAACTATGCGAATGCTGCTCCTGCTACTCCTGCTTCTGCTGCTCCTGCTGCATAATGCGAGGCACAAACAAAAACGAATTCTTACGCAACTGGAGCCAAGCGCTGCCTGTCAGCTGCATGACAAATTACCCAGCGCATTATTGTTCAACTGTCTGTTGTCCGACTCTCTCGGTGTGTCTGTCTCTATTTGACTATGGCCTCACGTGTAGACAGCATCCCGTCACGTGCCTGACAACTGAGCGCTGAGCTCCATTGCGTAACACACACTGGCTCTCGGCCTCGCCCCCTCTCGTTCACTCCCTCTCTCTGTCTGACTCACGCTCCTTTCTCTCTCTCTCTCTCTCTCTCTGTTTAGCACTCAATGGTATTCTTCTTCCATCGGTACGAGCTGCCCGCCATTATGGCACAGCGTCATGTCTTCATCATCACGCGAAATCAAGCAAATGCAGCAGCTGCTGCTGCTGCTGTCGCCGGCGGCGGAGGAGGCGGTGGTGGTGGTGTTGGTGGTGCTGCTGCTGCTCCAGCTCCCGCTGTAGCTGGTCAACAGGCGGCGCTGCAACGTGCCCGGGTCATTGTGATGCGACTCTATAGACAATTGGCTGCACAGCGTCAGGGCCAGGCAGCTGGAAACGGAGCAGCTGGAGCCGGAATGGGTGCGGCTGGAGGTGGAGGCGGCGCTGCTGCTGCACCGGCCGTACACAACAATCCCAGCGCTGCACTGGCGAATGCTTTGGGTAATTTGAGGCGGCTGCCGTTGGTGGGGCAGTGGTTGCATGGACGCGACCAGTTTGCCACAGAGCGACGGGTATTCCTTGGCCGCGGCCATGGACACGGCCAGATGATGCATGTGCGGCTGCAGCGCATCAATATGGCCGACATACCGGGACTGCAGACGCGCGCTGCTGCGGCCGTGGCAGCAGCCAATGCTGCCGCGGTGGCTGCGCAGGCAGCAGCCCAGGCGGCAGCAACAGCTGCCCAGGCGGCGGCAGCAGCAGCAGCAGCAACAACAGCAACAACAACGGCAACGGCAACGGCAACCGATACAACAACAAATGAAGGTAACTAAGTAAATGATTGGACACGATTTGTGCCCGGCTGTGTTCACTTCATTGCACTCAATTGGCGTCGGCTTTAAATCGCTTTTGGGGCAAAAGTCTAATGCCACAAATAACTGTGACGCTCCGTACCCATCGAGTGTGCAATCAGCCGGAAGATAAATTTAAATATTTCGTTTCAACTGCACTCGAAAACGCAGTCACCAAACAACAACAACAGCAACAGCAAACAAACAAAAAATGTAACCAAAATGAAAACGTGGCAAATTCAAAAGGGAACACAGCAAAAGAAAAAAAAAAAAAAATGCCGAAAGTAAATGTACACAAATCTCTGATAGTCTCGCGTGTGTGCAAACAAGTTTGCGGCGGATTAAATACCCTGTGATACGATTATCTCTCTCACTGTCTCTCTCCCTCTCTCTGAAGCTGCTTCTCAAGCGTAATTTGCATAGGAGAAAATGGATTTTAAATTTTGAGTACTGTCTTTCTGTTTTAATTTGATTTAAAATTTGCGTTTTTATATTTCTAATTTGTAAATAATAATGCCTTTTTGAATTTCATTGTATTTCTTTTATTATTATTTATATTGATATTTTTATAGTAGATCGAAGTAAATTACACGATTTAGTCAAAATTATATAAATAAAATTGGATTTTTTGCCAAGTATTTATCGCGCTTTTAGAACTTAACTAACTTTGAAGCAAATCTATTAATGAAATACTTGTTTAAAGTTAAAAAATAAATTCAAGTTTTCCGCCAGCCCAACAGTTTCTCTAAGTAATTCGTAAAAAAAAAATAAATAAATAATGTATAATCTAAAATACGAAATTCACAAAAGTTAAAACTTAAATATTAATATGATATGATTTATAATCTATAATCCATAATCTTTAATCTGTAGTCTTTAATCATCCATAACGTACAAGTATGTGTAGCCACTGCATCAAAAATGCACAAAGATTTCGGACTAATATCCACTGTAGTTTATCCCGAATATATTTATCCCATTGCATATTGAGTGTCCAACAGGATTATACCCAATTTGGCAATGTTTCTTTTGTATATATATTTTTTTTTTTTTTTTTTTTTGTCATCGGCTATCGGCAGGGTATAAAAAGGAGTGGCAATAAATGTCAAAGAGGCGTCGCACTCGCACATAAAACGTAGTCAATATTAACGATATAAAATATAAATGCGAAGCGAGTGTATGGGCTGCCCAGTCGACCGACCGACCGACCGACCCATTTGCCAACCCAGCAGAGCTCCCCCTCTCTGTCTCTGGCTACCTTCTTTATGTGTTTACAATAATATGAAATTATTTCTCAATTCGCTGGCAAAATAAATACAAAAAAGAAATGGAAGACGAAGAGGAAGACGAAGAAGACGAAGAAGAAGAGGGAGAAGTAGTAAAGTATTCAGTGAAACGAATGTTTTGTAAATTGTAACGCGCCTGTCATTTCCTGTTTTATTTTCACTTTACTTCATTGCTAACTTTGCCATTCTTTGCATATTTTAGATGTCGAATCAAATCATGGACAAGGACGAAACCAAGAGCCGGCAACAGCAGCACCAACAGCAGCAACAGCAACAGCAACAGCAACAGCAAACAGCATCAATGATGCAGGAGTAACAGCAACAGCAACAGCAGCTGAAGCAGAAACATTAGCTAAAGCAGGAGCAACAGCGGAAACAGCTCAGGACGAGCAGCAATTGGAGCTGGGTTTGGATCTAGGGCAGGCAGGCGTGTCTAAGATGTTGAAAAATCTAAATTCCGCTGCAGCGGATATTATAAATATGCCGGATACGCCTGAAACTACTACAGCAATAGCAACAGCAAGAGAAGTAGAAGCAGCAGCAGCAATAGGAAGCCTGAGTGAGCCACAGCCCCAGCTGCTGCTGCTGCCCACATTGGGAAAGCAATTAGCAAATAATTTGCCAGCTCAAAGAGCGCAGCAGACGCCGCCGTCGTCATCAGGTGAAAAGGAAAGCAGTTCGACTGACCAGCCGAAGCAAAACAAAGTAGCAGCAGGAGCAGAAGCAGAAGTGACAGCAGCAGCAGCCTTCACGTCAAAACAAGACAGAGCAGACGTCCAGGCTGTGACTGGAGCAGCAGCAGCAGCTTGGGCCAATCCAAGCACAATGATGGATGGCAGGCAAACAGTTGATTTTATAGAAGGCGACAGCTTCACGTCAACAGCAAATTACAACGCAACAAACCACATGCAACAACAGCAACAGCAGCAGCAGCAGCGGGCAGAGGAGGAGGAGCCAAAGCAGCAGCAGCAACAGCAACAGGAGTCGGAGGGGCTGCCGGCTAAGCTGATGAAAACTCTACCGCATACATCAAACCAAGTGACAACAGCAGCAGAAGCCACAGCAACAGCCCACAACTGAATAAGAAGATAGACAGCCCACAGGATATTTGGGGCGCTGGGCGGACGGACGGTTAGTGGGCGTCCTAAAAAGGGGTTAGCCCCAAATTTGAAACACAACAACAACAGCTACAGCAACAGCAACAACCGAAAGCAACAACAAAAATCAAATGTTATACGAACAGAGCTAGGAAATTTTTAGATAATTTGCCGGGTGTACTTATATGTCTAGAGCAAGCTGAGCGAATGTTACTCCATGAGTAAGCGTGTGTGTGTATGAGTGTGTGTGTGTGTGTTTGTGTGAAAGTGGGGGTGTGCATGTATGTGCGTGTGTCTAGACAAACTTTCAGATTTTCGGTACGATAAATAAAAATATATATCAACTGTGTTACTTAGTAATTTTTATAATTTTGTTTGTTTGTTTGTTTGTTTTTAACTAAAAATTAATGTGTGTTAACCATGCCAACGGATCGCGAAGTTCTCTGCTCACTTTTTAATTAGCTGCAGTCAAAAACTACTTGTTTTCATTTTGCTTGCAATAAAAAAAGGAAAAGAAAAAGAAATAAGAAACAAAAACAAAATACATTACATATTATATTATAGCTAGTCGCTTTAACATAAAATTCAAAAAAGATTTGAATAAAATTATAATTCAAATATTTGAAACACAATTTTCAATTTATTCTTTAAAAATATTTTTTTAGGTTAGTTTTTACTTTCATCTGATTTGTTTTTAACGCCCCTGGACAAAGCCTTGACAATTGATATATTGGAATTGACTATTTAGGTTTTTTTTTTTTTTTCATTTTTCTCCACATTTCAAACGGATTTTTAATTTGCAATTCAATTCGTTTGAAGCATATTTGTTGTGCATTTCAGTGCGGATTGCATAAAGAGATATAATTACATATAGATATAAACACATACACGCGCGGAATATTTATTATTTGCAGAATGCTTTGTATTAATTAATCAAAATAAATAACTTATTGCCCGAAGATAAGCCACAAAAAGTATAGAATCCTAAAAATTTACATTTTATTTTATTCACTGAGGTACATATGGATATACGTGTGTGTGTGTGTATATATCTGAAAATATGAAAAATTAAAGCAATTTAATGTTGACTAAACAAAAGTTCGCTTCTCTAAAGCGAAAATAAACATTTCTTATAGATTATACGACTATTTACTAACATAATATATATATACTAAGTCTTATATATATATATATATATATACTGCGCATACAGAGAGAACGGACTTCTTGAACTACTCTCAAAATGTTATTTCTAAATGTGTAATGAAAAAATATACAATATTCAAAATTTCCTCAAGAGTTTTCTTTTTTTTTTTCATACCAAAAAAGGCAATTTATCTTAAATCAATAATAAAATTCAGTTGGCAAATCAATCTTAAGCTCTCAACCGTCACTGAGGACATTCCGCCGAAAAGTTCCCTTAGTTTTCCCAAAGTTTTTGCGGCTGACAAGTTTCTGGGGCTTTAAACTTTAAAGTGAAGTTGGCTAGAAGAAACTCAATTCGAAAATAGCTAGAAAATGATTTTAAAATGTATTTGTGATTTGCGAAATGCTCGAAATGAAATTCTAATCAAATATTAAAGGCAGAAATCCTAAGGGAACATGCTCGTCTATATCAACTGCTTGGAGTACTAAATGATATTAAAAAGGAAGTTTTGTTTTGTGTTTTCCTAAGTAGGTTAGCTCTGCCTCTGTCCCTAGGGCCTTAGCGTTATGAACTCGTTTATACGGAGGGCAACGTGAGCAGATTGTGGATGAGTCAAAAGGTCACATATAAATAACTGCCGCCATTGTTAACTTTAAGGCATTATTTATATTTTTAGCTGGAAAAAATAAGAAATATAAGGAATGGGAACAATGCGTGTGTAGTTAGGGAGATTGAGGGATTACGAGGTAGGTGATATCTTGTTTCATACACTATATATACGTTATATTTTTATTTTATTATATTTTATTTATAGATTATAATTATTATAATTATCATCAAGGAGCTTGAGCAGGCGCGGCCTTGTAGTATATAAACTACCTATATTTTATAAACAATTTTGCCTTAAAAATTTAATAGAAAAGCGGTTGGTATTTTAACTATACGAAAATCTGTACATCAAAATGAGTTTTTATAGGTTCTTGGTGAACTGAATAACTGCATGTTCTAAGAGCTTTATATATTTGTTGTATTTTATTGTAGTTTTTGTCATACCATTTATTTTTCATAGGAACTTTTTTTTTTTAAATTTGCTACTGTGTCATTCCAGAAAATATTTTTAGAAATTTTTTGCATACAAAAAAATCAAAATATATCGAAAAACAAACGGATTACACACAATCCAGAGCTCACACTTCGTGACTCTTCCTTTCCCTCTCTCAGTCTGTCTGCCTCTCACCCAGCTAATGTTGGGTTCGAATTTTATCTAACTCCACTACATCCAAGTCCCATACCCAATCTCAACTCTATTCGAAGAATGCACGTTCTGATTAGTTTTAATACGAACTTGATAACTCTAGATAATTTTTAATAATTATAAATACAACATCAAATGCGATATGCTGAAAACTTTCCATTAGTTTGCTGATTTATTTGATAGCTTTTCTGGGAAATAATTTCGTGAAGAGATATCTCTACTAAAATACTTGGAAGCCAATCGATTGCTTCGATGATTTATGCAGAAACAAATAAATTTTGAGCAGCGAGTGTAACCCACATCAGTAAAATAAACTGGAAGTATATGAGTGATAGAGAGAGAGAGAGAGGGGGGGGGGGGAGGGAGCTGGAGTTGGAATTGGAGAGAGTAAGAGCTACTGTGTATAAGCATTGAGCGAAAAATGCGTTGAACTTAATTTAAATTAAAGATAAACAAATTATGCGCCATCAAAAGCTGAATACGTTTTGCATATTTTGGGTTTTCGAATTAAGTTAAAGGAATACAATGTAATAATAATAATAATGATTACGATAACACCAGACAGGCAGGCGAGGCCAGGCGAAGCAGCCCAGAACGAATTGGAAATTTTGCTCATGTCAGTCTTAAATGCTCAAGTTGGGTGCTTAGCTTTAGCTGCTGATAGATATTATGCATGCCAATGCCAAGATGAAGTACACACACACCCAGCTCATCATGATCATCATTATTGTCATCGTCATCATCGTCATCATCGATAGGTTGGAAGTCGCGGCCAAACTTTATGCCAAAGTATGTAAATAAAACAATGCAAATGTCTGGCAGGGCACGTCGGGACTGTGCTTGGAGCTAGCTTGAGATTGCGTCTCCTTGGGCAGGACCAACGCACTGCCAGCCAGCAGCAACTGTCGCTGTCAATGCGTATTCCTTCCAGTTCGCTGATGTGAGCCAAGCCAAACATGCTACAATAATAAACAAGCGCATCGTGTGCCAGCGACTACAGACGTCAGACGAGACACGCCTGACATGTCATGTGGGTGGGCAGGAGGATTCCCACACCCCAACCCAGCCCAACCCAGCGCAACTCCCCTTCCCAAAAAAAAAAAAAAACCCAAAATAAAAATATCTTCAGTCGTACATATTTATTACAGCAAAAGGCGAGAGTAAGCGCCTCGACACGGCCCGGGATATAGTATATGAGCAACGTGCGTCTTTGATTAACATCTTATGGAGCAAGCCGAAATAAAAAACGAGAGAGAAATAATAAAATTTGAGCATGTGAAACAAGGCGACTTCGTTTCTTGTCAATGTATTTGACGTGAGGCTACTTTATCTGCTGATTATTTGCTCATTTGTTTCGGCATGAGAAACTTTTCAATAAAAGATGCGAATGTTGTCGCAGCATAAAATGATAAACAAATCATTTGCATATCATTAATGCAAATGTGAGTGGGTGAGTGTAGGTGTGTTTGTGTGTGTGCGTGTGTGCTTGTGTGTGTGTGTGTGTGTGTGATGTTGTCATTAAAAGGCTTGTCATACAGCCTAGCCACAACCACATACGCATTTCCGCCGCCAACGACATCCGACATCCGGCGTTTAAATGCGGCTGTTAATCACAAGTCAAACAAAATGCTGCATACTTTTAGGCTGCGTCGACTAATTATACGTATTTATGTGCCCATGTGTGTGTGTGTGTGTGTGTGTATGGGTGTGTGCTTGGCTGTTGTTTGTGCCTTGGGCATATGTTCAAATGAATCTTAATTAGGTCTTTTGTTTCACACAAAGCCGCAGGCACACATAAAAAATATATAAATACCCACACATACACACACACATATGTGCTTCTCTGAATTTGACAGAAACTTATACGATACACTTTCTATTAAAGCTTATTTGACATATCAGTTTTCCCATTACCGCCAGCCCTAACAACTTGAATTTGTGAGCGATTCTCTTTGAAGTCTCTTGCGGAAGTACAAAATAATGCTCGAGCTGGCTTATAGACATATACCTTGTATTTGATATCAGTTTTTTATTTAATCTTAATACTTGGCGCATCAGACATTTAATTTGTGTTACAATATAATTTTCTTTAAATTTTAAACTTAACTTTTAAGTATTTATTTATATCATATTTATATCATAAAGTAGTGCTGGATAGAGAACAAAAAAAAGGTAAGAAATAATGAATTTATGAATTTATAATGAAATTATGTAATAATGAATTATATAATACTATTATTATATAATACTAGATTTCCTTTTCTGAAATATATGTATATTAATACTTGCTTCCACTCACACTTTACCTAGCCAGATCTAAAAAATACTACATGGTATGATGATTGTAGAATATATCCAGACGTGGATGGGATCTACTCTTAGAAAACTATGTATAAGAAAGTCTTATAATAGTACAGAATTGTCATAATTCATATATATTTTCTTTTACCCCTTTTCTAGCCAACAATCTCTATCAAATTATTCGCCAAAAATGATAATAACTATAATAATAATATATAAACTAATAATGTCGCATTCACCGCACTCTCAAGAACCTTTCCGCTGTGACTTTTTCTTCAAATAAAAACTTGAAGGTAATATTTTAATTATTTTATTTTAGATAAAACACTTTCAAATGTGAATTTCTATTCTTTTTATTTA